TGAGTTATTCCATAGCTTATATAATGCTTATATAATGTCACGTGGGGAAAGCGGGGCAGTGATACTTTCGCAATCAACACAAAGATATGATTTCCTCTGAAGTCGGCCTGTCTTCTGTTAAGGTTTTATTCGACCTTCTTGTACAATGCTTGTTTAGTCTTACTGCAACTGTATACTGCAACTGTAGAACTGGAGCTAACTCTTACTTCTACTTTTGCTTCTGCTTTTTCTTCTGCTTTTTCTTCTGCTTTTTCTGCTTCTCTTGCTTCTAACTCTCTGCTGCTCTGAACTCTGAGTGAGCTCGTATTTAATGGCTAAGCTAAAGTAATACGTCACATAACTGGTTTGTACCAGGTCAAACTAGATTGAACCAGTTAGGCCAAGTATACGTATGACGTAAGAGCTTGAAACAGGTGTTGGCTTAAGGAAAAAGTACGAGCACTTAGTTCTAAGAGCTGACCCTGAAAATCGGTCGATGGTGCTCGCTAGCTTATCTAATAGAGAACGGATTGTACCAAAAATAAGTTACAATTATGATTATTCTGAACAAGAGATCAGAAAAAGGCTTAGGAAGTAATTGTTTGTACAGTAAACAACCCTGCTCTTTCCCAGTACGCATGTACAAAGTTGTACATGATCAAAACCCGTTTTTACTGAAAAGTACAGTAGATTTGCAGCTGTTGTTTACTACAAAAAGTACTTCCCAAATCAAAATAAAGAGGTTTCAATTATATTTGTTATTTTAAGAAGGTTTAGCATTTAAGTTTGATGATAATTTATGAATTTATATAGCGCCTTTTCTTATGAATATAATCAAAGGCGCTTTACATTTAGTTTCTATTTCTAGAATGTTTCCCCCTGATATTTTCCCTTGATTGTATTTTTCCCTTTTGCAAGAATGCATATTATTTTAGCAGCTTTAATGAGTTCAGTGTTCTTTATCACTTAGGAAGAATATTTGGTTGATCTGAGAAAGATAACCATGAGCTTTGAGATTTAGAACAATTGGACATTAGGTTTTTTGAGAGCTACAAATCATATTTCGCGCGAATTTTGCCCGGTTTTCGCGCTTTTTTGTACCAGGCCGGTGTCTGCCATTTGCCTTGAGCAATTGAGTATTGATATCAGAAGAAATGGCGTAAAAAATGAAAGTTTTAGCAAAGTTTTCGGGTTTTCTTTTGCGTTGTCAGAAGGTTGAAGCTGAAAAGTAGAGAATTGTAAAACCGGAAGAAACATTTTGACTTTTTTAGTTATATTTGGAACTGTCGGAATGAAATGTATACGAAGAGATTTAGTTTGCACAAAATCAACAAATACTGTTTGATGGACACAGATGTGTGCCAAATTTTGCAAAATGGCGGTCATGTTTTGTCATAAGAATGACACTTTGATAGTGCTCTCAAACCGAATCATGAATTGTGTTTATTTCTACGAAACAACATTTATATGACAATTCTATATCGTGTCTTGCAAAATGACAAGCATATGAGAAGCATATGAGAAGTTTAAGATCTTGCGCATCGAGAAAAAACTTCAAAAACTGTGAGTACCTAAATATTTTCTCTACTTATTCATAACCTTGAACCTACTGCGCAAGACCATTTTCGGAATTTTTCTGGCCATGTATTTCTTGTATTACTGATATAAAGCAGTAGCAAAATGTAGTCTTGTTATATAGCTACTAGCCTGCGTGCAGCCAGACTTTTCTCTCGTACATCGAGACTCCCGGGAAACAAAACCGCTAACTAGCTATTTCCCTCGCGACCACTCAGACATTAAGTGTATAATGATTATAGCTAAGACGGCGTATTTTTTTTTGAAATATATCTATGATAGGCAGTAGTTGTAGGAGAGGAGAGGAGAGGATATCGAGACAAAGGAAATGTTATATACTTTGATTCAAGAAAGCGAAGCCCTTTGTCTGTTGCTTGACATATACCTGTTGATTCATTCACGGTCAACCAAACTTAACGGACAAAATAACATTAAATCTTCAGACGGTTAACCTCAAAATGAAAATGCATTTCTTTACCGTAAGACATACATGTTTAATAAAAGATTTTACAGAGGAACACGAATGAAAGGAAAACCACGAGACACGCAGCAGGCGTGATGTCAAAAAATAAGACAATGAACAAAAACAAAACCCGAAAAATTGTAAAAAAAAGTATTACGAAAATCTTTACAGAATTTTCATGGTAAAAAAATTCAAAAACTTGATACGTGTATCTGAGATTTACAAAGAAGATATCACTGGTCTACTCTGCTTTCGTTAGAGTAAAAAGAATACTACTTCTTCTTCATTTATTTGCTTGAGAACCTCGTGATTATAATCAAGTTAGCACTCCAATTGAAAACATTTCCTCGGAAACGAAAGATGTATATAAAGCTAGACAACAGGTAAGTTACTCGTTTTCTTTAAATTTATTGAAAGACTTAAAATGGAAGTGCCTGGAAGTAAGATAATTTTTCTTGATTTTAATATATTTTACACTGTTTCTAAGTAACTGTTGTTATATGTATATATATATATGTCTATCAGTGCATATTATATAAACAATGCACCCTCGTTTTCAATTAACAATATATCATTCTAATAAATTTCATCACGGGCTTATTTTGAGTTGCACTTGTCAGCCGTGTGAAAACTTCATTACGTAAAATTTCTATAAAAAGAATAAATCATCAACTCCTATAAATTCCATTTCGACCATGGAACGAACGAGCACCACAGGTTTGTTAGCCACTGACTATCAAATACTACCCTTGTAAAAACAAGGACTGTTTTATCAAGGGCGCTAGGACAAATACGTCGGGTTGTATAGCTATATTTAAGTCATTCGTAGACATGTAAGGTCATAAACATCTTTTGACGTGTCTATAATATTCCCCATTAACCCCGATTACTTGTGTTTGAATTGGCCCTCTACTCTATGAAGTGTCCGTACACTAGAGTCGAACTAGAGGGTGTAAGTGGGGTTTACAGATAACTGACAAAGAGGTTTTTTACCCGATACGGCGGCCATCTTGAATTCCATTGTTTGAAAATTATTCACTTATTTGAAAACATAACCTCGCCACTCTAATACCAGCTGAGCGATGAACGCGGCGCGCAAAGCATGAGTGGACAAAGTGACCGGTCCTAAGCATTTACTGAGCTTGAAAGAACGAAGCAAACAAAGAGGAAATTGTTTATTTTCTTCTTGAAAAAAGATTCAGTATAAAGATTTATGAAAAGCCTCATCTGAAAAGCCTCATTTCTGAGCCGTAAGATCACCAAAAATCAGTATCAACTGCAGTTACTTTTTCAGGTTTTTCGATCGATTCAATCTTACTGAAGCCATAACGTGATTAATTTTTTAACAAAATCTTCTTAAGAAACACGTGTTGTAATCTCTCAAGTAAACAGGTAAAATCCTTTGGACTACAGTGAAGTTTGATAGCCTGAGGGAAGAAACTCAGGGATTAACAATATATTTGTGTTGGATATGCTTGAAAATTCCTACTCCCGATAGATAATATACCAATACACAATTAATAAATCCTTCTGTCGTTCGTAACTAGCAAGGGCGGATCCAGCCAAAGTTTTAGAGGGGGGGGGGGGGCTAATTGAGTTTCTTCCGTCAACACAAAGAAAAACAATATAAAAAAGCATCGTCTTTTTCTGCTGAAGGGTCCCCCCTGAATCCGCCCTTGACTAGTTACCATGGTGCCATCATAGCTTAATCGAGCGGAATGGTTTGGAAACTCCATGAGAACAAAGCTATTGCTTTGCTTTCGAGATTGAACCGTACCATCACGTGATACTGACCGTGCACAATGAACCAAAGTAAGTATGGCTGAAAATGATCATTTCCTTATTATTTTCATGTATGAGTATTTTGAAAGTGAAAACTTTCATTCCATGACCAAAAACCATGCGAATAAATATTTCCGCGCAGATACAGTTAAGTAAGCATTAAAAAGGGCAATTTCCTTTTCAATGAAAAAATCAATATCAATCATATAGGATTAATTAACAAATAATAACTATTTTAGACAATTTTTAGGAGAGAAAAAGGATATATTCTCTAATACTATGAACAAACGGAACAAGGCCCCGTCCACACGTATCCGGAAATTTTTGTATCCGCAAATTATTTTTTGCGGATACGAAAATGTTTGCGTCCACACGCAGCATATCCGAATCGTTTTCATCGTCCACACGTATCCGTTTTCGTAAAATTTGCGGATACGGACACAAAAATTTGCGGACACGTGTGGACGCAACCCGTATCCGTAAAAAAAAATTGCGGATACAAACATTTGCGGATACGTGTGGACGGGGCCCAAGTTTTCCTTCTCTGTGCACGGTCAATGGAATCAAACAAAAACCTAGAACAATAGGATTCCCAAGCATTCCGCTCCATGAACTATGGTGCTATGAGAAGAAGGTTAAGTTTTTCTGTTTTCCCATCGACACCTCTGGCAAAAGCAAGGACCAGTTGATGATCAAGACATGCATATTTATAATAACTATAGACTTCGATCGATCTCAAACTACTAAGAAATGAAACTGAGATTAAATGTGCTTGTATGCCGGCCCTACTGAACCCTATACAGTGATGTATTATACGTTTCACTTTCAAATTCGATGTCAAAATGAACTTGAATGCAGGGCTTCTCGTCATCATGCGAATCAAGATGGCGTGGTTCGATGACCCACAAAAAACCCAAACAAGGTTACTGCTGTATGGCTTATAAGGCAATGTACAAGAGATATGATATGGAGATATAACGATAAAATGTTTCACTCAACAATCTGCTTCAAAACTTGCTACAATCGTTGTTTGTACTTTGTCAAGTCTTCGGGCGAAGTTTTAGCGCGATTTGAGGCCATTTAGTGTGTTGGTTTTTTTTTCGAAATCCAAGTTCTCCCTATGAATSAATAGCACATTTGCATGATGACGTCACGCGCGCAAAGCATGCTGGTTGTAGAGGTTAAGGCTGAAGAAACAAAAATGGCTTCTGTTAGCGGTGGTTATACTTGCTGTGTTCCAGGGTGTTTTAATAATAATAAGCGTGATAAACATTTGTCTTTCTACAAGTTTCCGAAAGATAAAAAACTAAGGAAGCTGTGGTTAAACAATATTTCAAGGAAAAACTKTTCTCCCACGGCTGGGCACAAAGTATGCAGCCAGCATTTTCAAGGAGGCAAGAAGACTTATCTTAACAATATCCCAGTTATCTTTCCTTTAGCCAAGTCTCATAAGAAACCAACGAAGCCACCAAGAAGGAAACTTATCAGACATGAAACTAGAACTGATCAAGAAGAAGTGGAATCAGATATTAAGGAGGTAGCACCCGAAGAAGTCGAATTTATTGATACCGAAGAATCAAATACAGTACAACAAGAAATCCGTGGTCTTACCATACCATTAAGCTACAGAATGCCCTTCGTGCAAATGAAATCTTGAATTCCGAAGTTTCAARACTGAAATTCGGTTTTTTTTTTTAAACATTCAAAGGATGATATGAATTATTATGTTGGAATGAGCGTAAGCGAGTTTGATGCCCTGTACAATTTTCTCAATTATCRAGGCACTTGCCACCGTCGACAGAGCGGAAAAACCGGACGCATGCGCATTAGAGACTATTTTCATGAGCACTCCAATATGGCGGACGAAAGCGGTAAAAATCTGTCTCTAGGAAAATTGCTCTAAAAACGGACAAAAACGCAGCAATGACACTCAAAACTTTTGATCACAACTCGTAATCTGCCACAGTACTTGATCTTGGTAGTTTTTTTGAAGCTTGTGGTCGACTTGACGCCAAAATAATGAATTCTTCGACTTGATTCAGAAGGACTTCGATCGCATCTCCTAGTGTTCGATGACAAGTGGAGAATCTTCAAATATAAGGACAGATATGGATATATAAGCTTCATACTTCGGCAAAAGAACGATAACT